TCCACTGGTCCTGAAAGATGGGAAAATGTCATTCTAGAGGAAGGGTGATGGCCTCTGTTGCCCTCAGCTGACAGAAAGTATTCAGATTTATATCCCCATATCAAGAGTTGGGGAGATGAGTGCTGCCAGGCCAACTTAAGGCCATTTGATTATTTAGAAGATTCCTGTTTAATTTTCAAATATTTCGGGGTTATTCAGCTACTATTACTGATTTCTAGTTTAATTCCATTGTGGCCTAAGAACATAATTTATACAATTTCAATTTTAAAAATTTGTTAAGGTGTGAAGCACCTGGATGGCTCAGTCAGTTAAACGTCTGTTTTCAGCTCAGGGCATGATCTCACGGTTTGTGAGTTTAAGGCCCACTTCAGGCTCTTTGCTGACAGCTCAGAGCCTGAAGCCTTCTTCAGATTCTGTGTCTCCCTCTCTCTGCTCTTCCCCTGCTCATTTTCTGTCTCTGTCTCTCAAAAAAAAATAAACACCAAAAAAAAAAATAATTTTTAGTTTGTTAAAGGTGTATTAAAGTATGGCCAAGAATGTGACCTATGTTGGTTGAATGTTCCATGAAAGTTTGAAACAAATTTATGTTCTGCTGTTGTTGAATGGAGTATTTTATAAATGTCAATTAAATCAAGTTGATAATGGTAGTTCTGTTCATGTCATTTACATCTTTATTGATTTTCTGCCTGCTTAATTCATCAGTTACTGAAAGAGGGATGTGTATTAAAGTCTCCAACTCTAATACTAGATTTCTCTGTTTCTCATTTTAGTTCAATCTGTTTTTGCCTCATATATTTTTATGCTCTGCTGTCAGTGGATGCATGTTTGAGATTATATCTTCTTAGAGAATGAGCTCTTTATCTGTGAGAGTGGTCCTTGTTCTGAATTCTTTTTTAACTGAAATTAATATAGCTACTCTAGCTTTGTTTTGGTTAGTGTTAGCATGGTATATCTTTTTCCATCTTTTTACTTTTAACCTGAGTCTTTACATTTAAAATGGGTTTCTTGTAGATAAAATTCAGTGAGTCTTATTTTTTCCATTCTAATAGTCTTTGCCTTGTAATTAATTTATTTCAGCCATTAACATATGAAGTGATTATTTATGTAATAATCCTCCCCTTTTCCTATTTTTTTTTGGTGTTTTTATTTCTTTCAAGTTTTTATTTAAATACCAGTAAGTGAACATACAATGTAATATGAGATTCAGACGTAGGATTTAGTGAGTCTTCACTTACATACAACACCCAATGCTCATCACAAGTATCCTCCTTAATATCCATCACCTATTTAGCCCATCCCCACCCACATCCCTCCATCAATTCTCAGTTTGTTTCTTTAGTGAAGAATCTGTTTGGTTTGCCTCTCTCTTTCCCCCCCATGTTTATCCATTTTGTTTCATAAATTCCACATATGAGTGAAATCATATGATATTTGTCTTTCTCTGACTGACTTGTTTTGCCTTGGATAATATGCTCTAGTTCCATCCACATCATTGCAAATGGCAAGAGTTCATTCTTTTTATGGCTGAGTAATATTCCTGTGTGTGTATGTATATGTATGTATGTATATGTATGTGTGTATATACATGTATGTATGCATATGTATGTGTGTATATATATGTATATATACACATACATATACATACATCTTTTTTTTTTCTCCAACATTTATTTATTTTTTTTAGGACAGAGAGAGACAGAGCATGAATGGGGGAGGGGCAGAGAGAGAGGGAGACACAGAATCGGAAACAGGCTCCAGGCTCTGAGCCATCAGCCCAGGGCCTGACGCGGGGCTCGAACTCCCGGACCGCGAGATCGTGACCTGGCTGAAGTCGGACGCTTAACCGACTGCGCCACCCAGGCGCCCCTACATACATCTTTTTTATCCATTAATCAGTCAATGGACATTTGGGCTCTTTCCATAATTTGTCTATTGTTGATAATGCTGCTATAAACATTGGGATGCATGTGTCCCTTTGAATCAGTATTTTTGTATCCTTGGGCAAATACCTAGTAGTACAATTGCTGGGTCATAGGAGAGTTCTATGTTTAACTTTTTGAGGATGTTCCACACTGTTTTCCAGAGTGGTTGCACCAGTTTGCATTCTCACCAACAGTGTAAGAGGGTTCCTCTTTTTCCACATCTTTGCCGCCATCTGTTGTTTCCTGAGTTGTTAATTTTAGCCATTCTGACAGGTGTGAGGTAATATCTCCTCATAGTTTTGATTTGTATTTCCCTGATGATGAGTCATGTTGAACATCTTTTCATGTGTCTGTTAGCCAGCTGTATGTCTGTTCATATCTTCTGTCCATTTCTTCACAGGACTGTTTTTTGGGTGTTGAGTTTGATAAGTTCTTTGTAGATTTTGGATACTAACTCTTTATTAGATATCATTTGCAAATATCTTCTCTTATTCCATTGGTTGTCTTTTAGTTTTATTGATTATTTCCTTTGCTGTGCAGAAGCTTGTTATTTTGATGAGGTTCCAATAGTTCATTTTTGCTTTTCTTTCTCTTGCCTCAAGAGACGTATCTAGTAAGAAGTTGCTACAGCTGATGTGAAAGAGATTACTGCCTGTGTTCTCCTCTAGATTTTAATGGTTTCCTGTTTCACATTTAGGCTTCCATCCATTTTGAATTTATTTTTGTGTATGGTGTTAAGAAAGTGATTCAGTTTCATTCTTTTGCACGTTGCTGTCCAGCTTTTCCAACACCACTTGTTAAAGAGACTGTCTTGTTTCCATTGGATATTCCTTCCTGTTTCATCAAATATCAGTTGACCATATAGTTGTGGGTCTATTTTTGGGTTTTCTACTCTGCTCCACTGATCTATGTGTTTTTGTGCCAGTACCATACCGTATTGATCGCTACAGCTTTTTAATAACTTGAAGTCCAGAATTGTGATGCCTCCAGCCCTGCTTTTCTTTTTCAAGATTGCTTTGGTTTTTTGGGGGGTATTATGTGGTTCCATGCAAATTTTAGGATTGTTTGTTCTAGCTCTGTGAAAAATGCTGGTAGTATTTTCACAGAGATTGCATTGAATGTGTACATTGCTTTAGGTAGTATAAACGTTTTAATAATGTGTTCTTCCAATCCATGAGCATGGAATATTTTTCCATTTCTTTGTGTCCTCTTCAATTTCTTTCATAAGTGTTCTACATTTTTCAGAGTATAGATCTTTGCCTCTTTGGTTAGGTTTATTCCTAGGTATCTTATTGTTTTTGGTGCAATTATAAATGGATTTATTCCTTGATTTCTCTTTCTGCTCCTTCATTATTGATGTATATAATTGCATCAGATTTCTATATGTTAATTTTGTATCCTGCAACCTTTCTGAATTCATATATTAGTTCTAGCAAGTTTTTGGTGGAGTCTTTTGAGTTTCCTACACAGAGTATCATGTCTTCTGCAAATAGTCAAAGCATGAATTTTTCCTTGCCAATTTGGATGCATTTTATTTCTTTTTGTTGTCTGATTGCTGCAGCTAGAACTTCCAGAATATGTTAAGTAACAATAGTCAGAGTGGACATCACTGTCTTCTTCCTTACCATAGAGGAAATACTCTCAGTTCTTTCCCATTGAGGATGATATTAGCTGTAGGTTTTTCATATATGGCCTTTATGATGCTGAGGTATGTTTTCTTTGCCCCTACTTTGCTGATGGTTTTTATCAAGAATGGATGCTGTACTTTGTCAAATGCTTTTCTGCATCTATTAAGATGCATATGAGATCATATGGTTCTTTTATTTTTTTACATTTTTAAAAATTTTTAAAAAAAAATTTTAATGTTTATTTATTTTTGAAAGAGAAAGAGAGAGTGGAGACGGGGCAGTGAGAGAAGGGAGACACAGAATTGGAAGCAGGTTCCAGACTCTGAGCTGTCAGCACAGAGTCCAACACGGGGCTCAAACTCACGAACCGCGAGGTCATGACCTGAGCCGAAGTTGGACACTCAACCGACTGAGCCACCCAGGCGCCCCTATCTTTTCTTTTATTAATATGGTGTATCACATTGATTGGTGAGTACGGTAAAACCTTGGATTGTGAGTAACTTGTTCTTCAAGATGAGCAAACATTTCTAATAAATTTTAACTTGATAAACGAATGTCTTGCAATATGAGTAGTATGTGATGCCAAACATTACATGATCACAACTGAGCCAATGGTTCTTCTCTCTCTCTTTCTTTCTCTCTCACTGTGGGATTGTGGGTGATCATCTCCCATACTCAGATGCTCGGTCTCAGACCATGGTGTTTGGAAGAAATCAGTGATTTTTCAGAACATTGGAAGGTGCCTGCAACTGGCAGTGTATTTTTAGTCACTTCAAAGCACCTGTGGACAGTCCTTTGCTTTTCCAAAGCTTAGGAATGCTTTTCTTTATTCCAAGTCAGACTGTCTGCAGATATAGACACCATCCTCTGCTGCCTTTTTGCCAGTTACATTAAATACAGTATATGACAAGAGTTTATTAATACTGTGCTGTACTCAACATCTGTGTGAGTGTATACAATGGCCCCAATGCAGAAAAACATTGAAAAGAAAGGTAGTAAGAAGAAGATTATTGTGGTGGAAATTAAGAAGGAAATCATCGAGAAGTATTAATGAGGTATGAGAGTGGCCAAAAGTCCAAGATTTTACGAGAAGTCTACATTTGCATCTTGTTTGCAGAGGAGGGGGAGAAAAAGGCAGAGGAATCCTTCACTTCAAATGAAATTAGGAAGATGTGTAAAATGTGGGAAACAGTGTAAAATTTTGTAGAAAAACACCACCTGAATAAGGCTGTAGCAGTGCGAGTGATGAATCTGTTTAACAACAATGCAATGTCACATTTCTGAAATCTTCAAAAGAAGGCAAAAGTAAGTGTCATTGGATAGGTTCCTTATTAAAGTTGCATGAAAAGGAAAAGATTCTATTGAGCCAGTATATAGCAGTGATTCTGTTAGTGATAGTGAAAGTTGTCCTGTGCAATAACCCTCCTCTCTGTTGTCTCCCTCACACCAGCCACGAAGGTGTTCAAAGGTAAATGCAAGTTAATTTATTTTTCTTTATATTCTGTATTTTATTATTTTGTATTATATCACAGTATTGTAATCATTTTCTTTATATTTTGTATTTTCTTTATCATTTTATATTATATTACAGTATTGTAATCATTTTATATGAATATTTTTGGGTTGTAGAATGAATCATCTGAGTTTCCATTAGTTCTTATGGGGAAATTCACTTTGATATACAAGTGCTTTGGATTACAAGCATGTTTCTGGAACAAATAATGCTCATGGACCAAGGTTTTACTGTGTTAAATCACCCTTGCAACCCAAGAATAAATCCCACTTGATCATGGTGAATGATTCTTTTAATGTACTGTTGGATTTGATTTGCTAGTATGTTGTTGAGAATTTTTACATCCATGTTCATCAGGGAGTCTTGATCTGGTTCTCTCTGTTTTTAATTGAACATTTTATATAATTACATTTTTTACCTCCTTCCATAGCATATCATTTATCCTTTTAAAAAAATTTAGTGGTCATCTCAAAGTTTACAGTATACATTTTAAACTCACCTAATCCCTCTTTAAATAACACTATTTGGCTTTTCTGAATTGCAGGTAACTTAAAGTATTCCAAATTCCTCCCTCCCATGTTTGTGATATTGTTGTCATTCATTTCACTTACCTATCTGCTATAATCACTCAATATAGTTTAACATCTGTTGCTTTAAATAGTTATCTTTTAGATCACTGACAAATAGGAAAAATAACACATTTATTTTATCTTAATTTATTCTTTCTCTGATGTTCCTCTCTTTTCAGTGTAAATGCAAGCTTCTGAGAGGATTTTCCTCAGACCTCACCCTGAGAACCTGGTAAGTTTCCTGAGAGAAGGCCTATGCAACTGTTATGAGCACCTTTAAGACTGAGGCCCCAGAAGTTAGCTTCTCGCTCTCAAGCTAGTCCACTCAGTCTCTGGCATTTAATCAAAACTACCATTTAAAACTTTATCATTTAACGGCTCCAGCAACTTTTGTTCCAGATAAAGCAGGTCATGGTTGTTGTATCTCTGCAGACGTGCCTGTCTCTTCAGATTCTGGAATGGCAATTTGCCCTAAAACCTCAGTTCTCTGATGAGTTCAAGAACAACCATTAACTATACATTTTGCTGTAATTGTAAATACTGAATTCTGGACTTCCTGGCTCTTTGTATATCAAAACTTTCACGGATATTTCAGAAAGTAAAAAATGCAAGTTCCAGTTAATTTTATATAAAACATTTATCTTAGAATAAAAAGGGCAACCATTTCAGAGAAACAAAACCTCTCTGTGTTTGTATATGTGCTTATACATCTTTCTCTGAGGAAGATCAGTGTGATAGAATGCCCACAAAGTTATTAATGCTGGTCATTGCACGTGGTTGAGACATTTTCATATTGTGTTTGTTAGTTTTCTTATTACAAAAAGCATATATCCCTTCTTTAGATTATTATTTTTAAAAAGTTGTGCACTTTGCCAGAAGCATTTACCATTTGTATTCATGAATAATGATGATAAACCTTTATAAAGAGGAGGGTTCTAAATGCCAGGTAGGAAGTATGACCTTTATTTGAGAGGCAAAGGGGTGCTCCTGATGAATTTTGAGCAGAGAAATGATATAATTTGAGTTCTGCTTTTAGAAAACTTATTTAGCTCCTATGTGTTGAACAGGCTAGGATATTGAGGAACTCATTTAGGGGGCTATCCAAATTATGTTAACAATGATGTTTTCTATTTGTACACTGCTTTAGAAATTATTGAGCACTATAATTTATATTAACTTACTTATTTCTCAAACTTCACTGTAAGTGAGGCAGATTAGAGAGTTTTACCTTACATTTGGAAATATGGACAATTGTTCTAAGTAAATTAGACAACATGCCTTGACCTCTGAGTTAGTATGTTTGACAACTGGGGTGTAAAGCCAGAAATTTTGTGCTCTATTTTGTCATGTATCTTCTGGACAAAACTAAACAAAAATAACCCTGTATTTTTATAAAGCTTAGAGTTTATAAAGTGTTTTCATGGAATAATCTTAATGAAGTGGCATTAATATAACTGAAAACAAACAATCCATACCCCAAACAAGCACACAAACAAAAAGGATGCTTGACAATATGCCTGATAATGAGTTTAAAGCAATGATCATAAAGATCCTCACTGGGCTGGAGAGAATAGATGAACTCAGTGAGTATTTCAATAAATAGATAGAAAATGTAAAAATGAACCAACCAGGGTTGAAGGAAACAATAACAGAAATGCAAAATACACCAGAGGGAATCAATAGTACATTTGTGGATGTAGAAGAATGGATCAGTGTCCTGGAAGACAAGTTAGTGGAAAGCACTCAAGCCAAACTGTGAAAAGAAAAAAGAAAATATAATTAAAAAAAAATTAGGCTAGTTCAAAGGACCTCTTGGATAACACCAAGAAAAAAAGTCCACATTATACGGATCCCAGAAGGAGAGGAGAGGAGAGGAGAGGAGAGGAGAGAGAGAGAAGCAGAAAACTCATCTGAAGAAATAATAGAAAAAAGAATGCTTGAGAAAAGTGAATAAATGAAGGAAAGTAGGAAAACAAACATTGTGCTGCATGAACTTTTATTACACCATTACTTTTTTTGTGGTGGCTAGTAAATCTGTACTTTGCAGATGAGGAAATGGAATCATAAGGATGTTGAATGACTTGCTCAAAGTCACATAGCTTTTCAAAAGTCACTTCTAAGATATAAACCCAGACTTGTCTGATTCCTAAGGTAGAGGAAATCATAGCTATAAGGATAATGGTATTGATGGCTATTGTGTTGTTGTGATACAAAATGATAATAAAAGCCAAGCTTACTACAGCTATTGACAACCAAAAGGTCCCTTTGGTTATATACAGTGAAGTTTTCATATTCTTTAGCAATGGAGTGGAGAAAGCCAAGAATCAAGCCTAGGACTTAAAAAAAAAAAAGGATGGAACTAAAAGTCAGTTAACTGTCTAACAAAGGCAGGTTTCTTATACTGAGATGAGGGACATGGTTCGGAAAATCCAGGACCCTGATACATGGTATGGAATTTTTATGAGGATGCTTTCAAATGTTTTTATATTCTGAATCCTCTGAACCTGTAGACAAAGTCCACCTTCCTGATTAAGAGCCAACATACCCTGAAGAGTCCAGTTCTAGCACCTAGAAAGAGAATAGACATCTTGCTTTACCTTTAACTTTTATTACATCATTACTACCCCATATAGTAGATATTAAATATGCATTTTGTAGATGAGAAAATCCTATATGTGATTTTTTCTTTAGGCCTGATTCAAGGCAATTATAAAGCTTTAAGCTTGCCTGGCAGGGCTTATGGGGGAAAGCTGCCCACCCCATTTCAGACTTGGTACACAGCCAGTACATTGCAGTTTTCTGGAAGTCATTGTAGTCAAGGACTCAAGCACTCTGGTCCAGCCATGTTCATATGTATATCTATATTTGAGCCAAAGAGCCTCCACCAAGACCTACTTAGTAGGGGGCTTTGGCTGAGGCACTTTTTTCCAATTTGACTGAGTACCTCTTTACTGCTAATCCTTCCTCCTCTGCCTACCCCTTGTCTATAGATCCATAAAGAGGTAGTAGTCTTCTGTTAGTAGTCCCTGGACAGTAAGACAATTCCCCCTGTCTGCACTGCATTCACCTAACACCATCCCTATGCCATTTTGTGGGGAAAAAATTCATCACTGGGGAGCTAACACCTCTTTTTTGCCTCTTGTGTTTACTGTTGCAGTAAGTAAATAAAGTCTTAATTTTTACTTTCAGTTTCTCTCAGTGTCCTAACTGACCACCACTAAACCTGATTGCATGACAAAATTGGCACAGACCGCAGAAATGTCAATTGCACGAAATGTCATTCTGGAATAGCAAGAGTAAAAAGCCTGAGGGTTCCCTGGACACCATTGGCCATGCTAATGTACTTTCTTGAGGAGTGCTAGAAGATTGTTTACAGAAATTTTTCACTTCTAAGGAAGATCACTCATCTTTCTCTTTAGCCCCTCACTCCCTAGCTGAACTTGCCCAGTGGCTCAAACTAGAAACCCAACCAAGGGTCTCAAAGAAAATTATGGAAGCATTTCCCTAGCCATTGCTTATGGTCTTCCTACAATGGGACCAAAAAGTGTCAGATAACTCTCTTGCTGAGTTATGTCTAATGACTATTGCTATCTTTGCGCAGATCCCTGGTGTTAATGGATGTTCTGTGACACAGCAGGTTACTGATAATTGTGTGTCCTGTGAAAACTCATGTAAAGCCCTTTGGAATTACTTTGCCTAGCAGCCCAAAGAAACCTTAGAGATGTGAGTAGTTTGTCTCTTCATTGTCTCTACAATGAAGGGGGTCATTTGTTAAACTCAGTGAAGGATAGGGCACCTTCTAGGGTGTGTTACTATAGTCTCCCCTTCAGAGTGTCCCATCAGAGGCCACATTGCCTAAGGGGGAAGAGAGAGCAGGGAGAAAGGAAGAGTGAAATACCCAAGATCCTCTTTCCTCAGATGGTATTATTTTGAGATCAAAAAGTTTGGTTCACTGTGACAAGTTCCCTGCCACTGAAAAACATGTTTGGATTATCCTCACAGAGGCTATTATGGTTGATGGTTTCTTGGGTCTACAGTGAGTTTTTGAAAACAACTCTGGTCTCTGATGAGACCATTTACCAGACTCAGATTGCTAGGTTTGTCCATGCTGCTCCTGCTAGTTAGCCAGCCTAGTTAAACATCCTCATGAGGTCAAGCCAATCAGTCCATGACACAATATGAGTCTTGACTGGCAAATTCCCCAGCATGGAAAAAGTGGTAATGCCAAAATAGCAAATCTTGGCCACCAGAAAGAGTAGCATAAGAGTAATAAACAGACATGGTTTACTAGATGATGCAGGCCAGGGTTTTCCCAAAAATATATTTGCATTCGGTTTCTTGAGAAAGGGGTCTTAAAGAAGGAGATTGATGGGCTCCCTATAAACAAATTTGCAGCTGGGTACCCAGCCACAGAGGTGATGAACAGGTGCCTTGCTCAGTTCTACATGGTAATGACCATGTGACTGATGCAGATGCTATCTTCTAATGATACCTCTTCTGGTGAATCTAGAGATGAATTGGAGAGCCCCATCAAGATTTACCTGAACTTCTCAGCTTTTAAAAATAAGACAAAGGGTTAGGTTAAGGTGTTCTGCCTCATGGGATGATTAGGGGTCCTATGTAAAAATTAGGGTTCTATGAGAAGGTGGGGGAGAATTGTACTTCTTGAGCCTTTGGATACAGTGCATAGGTGGCTATGGTCTCTGCAATCCTTGACACCAGGATAAGGAAAGAACATGTAATGAATTCTGGTTTTAGGCCTGAGACCACCATCACTGGAACCCTTGCCTAAGCCTGGCTAGGGATAAGTCCATTTGGGTCCCTACAAACCTCCATTGTTATGTATCCCACTACTGAATGGTATAGTTGTATTGTCTATGTGCATTATTGCTCATCTCAGCTCCCATACCTTGATGGAATTGGCTGCTAATAATCCTAATAGAATGATTGGGATCATTTTAGTTGGGTGTGTGGAAAACTGTGACCCTGCCTGACTACTGTCCCTATTGTTAGTCTTTCTCAAAAACAATTATCCGTTGCTTATGGGACAAAAACAAATAACTGTCCTCATTGCTGGGTTTAAGGAAATCAAAATCCTCTGTAAGACTATTTCTGCATTTGAGAGTTCCATCTATCCTGTACATATGACCTCTAGTACCTGAAACTCATCTTTGTGTATTGGTAACTAGTGCCATAGTGCCACACCTTTGGCACATGCAGTACCAGACAATGTGACTATTGCCCCAGCCAAGGGAATTTGATGTATGGCAACTGATAACCATAAATGCTTTTTTTCCCCCAACATATCCCTCTATCACAACCTTGGTCAATTTAACCTTATGGGAAATTAGTTGCAATACAACTTTAATGTCCTTTCACAAGTCTACATAACTTTTTTTTGGCTACCTGCCATCACTGGGTAGACTGTGATCTAGAAAAACGTTCCTTTTCCAGAGGGAGTACTAGACTTATTGATGACATCCTCCTGGTGGGCTCAGACAAAAGCACTGCCCAATAAGGACTGGAAGCCCTATTGATCCAAATGCAGCCACACAGCTGGGGCATTAACACAGATGAGATACAAGGTCCTAGTACCCAAGTCAAGTTCCTGGATATTAGGGGCATGCTTTCCATTCCAGAGGAGATGACTGCTAGAGCATTAGTTATCTTTTCACTGACAGATAAAAAAGAGGCCCAGCAGTTAGTATGTCTATTTAGCTATTGGCACTCTCATAAACCCTGCATGTAGAACTTGATGACATCTATCTACCAGATTAGCAGAAAGACTGCTAACTTTGTGTGGACACCTGACCAACAGTATGCTCTGGAGGCTCTCCAATGGGCTACCTAGGCTGCCCTTTCTTTTATTCTCATTGATCCACATTTACCATTTGAGTTAATGGTCTTAGCAACCTCTCAGTTCACCAATTGGAGTTATAGCAGAGGGATATCACTATGGACCAGCAATGCTATTGGGATTTTGGACCCTTAAGCTCTTAAAATAAGCTAAAAGCTATACACCCCTTTTGAGAAGCAATCATTGGCTTCTTATTACACCTTGGTGGGTACTGAACACATGACCCATGGCCATGAAGTAGACTCACGATCAGAAATCCCAGTCATTCCATGGGTATGAGCAGGGGCCTCAAATTGTGAAATGGTGGCTTTGGGATTCTCAGAAAATGGTACACACAGGAGGGGGAAAAGCCTGGCCCACCTGGGCTCTTGCAACTATGAAAGACCTCAGACACCATGGAAAGGTCTCAGGAATGCTCCTCTACCCCATAGGAATATAGTTCAAGGAGCTCTGTGTCTAGTGGCTCAGTAGAGACCCAAATATAGAGACTTTCAGGACCATACATGGGCTTGGTTCACTGATTGCTCCTCCTGATTAACTTTTACTAGGATTGAATGATATGCAGCTGCCATCCAACTTGACAGAGACCTGTCTCTTACGGAGCATAGTGAATGATGCTTAGGATAATTGGCAGAGCTAGGACACATGGGTGGCTCAGTTGGTTAAGTGTCCGACTTTAGGTCAGGTCATTATCTTATGGTTCATGGATTTGAGCCCTGCATAAGGCTCTATGCTGATAGCTCAGAGCTAGAACCTGCTTCAGATTCTGGGTCTCCCTTTCTCTCTGCCCCTCCCCAGCTTGTGCTCTCTCTCTCTCTCAAAAATAAATACACATTTTTTTAAAAAAAGGATAATTGGCAGAGCTTCATGCAGTATGGATGGCTATCCAGACCACCTCCAAATGAGCCGTGCTATATTTTCATTAACTCATAGGCTGTGATTAATGTCCTGGCTGTTGGTTTAGGCCACTGGAAAGTCCTGGACTGGCATATAAAATAAGCTTCTTTTGGGGGATAAGACATTTGGATCAAAATGTGTTTTGTTCCGAATAAGCTTTTTTGTTATTCATGTCACTAAAAAGACCACTGTATTGATAAAGGGAAACATAATCAATAAGCAGACCCCTTTTGTGAACTAAATATGAAGAATGAATTGTTTTCTGCCCCAGAACCAGCAGATGTGCAAGCAGTTGCTTCCCGAGTCCATGAGAAATGGAAAATGGAAATTCAGTCATCATCCTAGATAGGACCTAGGCGGATACGAACTACCACTATTAATCAGAAGATACTGAAATAGTGTGGAAAAGCTGGCCTGCCAGCTATATCCTAAGTAAGGCTAAAAATACTGCCCAAGGACCATTCTCTTGAACCAGCAGGCCAGGGTCTTCTTTATAGATAGATCACTGTGGGCCTCTCATCCCATGCAGAAGGTTCTACTGAATCTTAATTTTGTTTACTTTTTCTCCGGGTTTGGCTTCACCATCTCTGTATTCTTCTGACTCAGGCCCATTATCTAGGCCCTAGAAAGCCATTTTTTTTTCTTGGTTTCCCTGGGCACATTGCCTCTGATAATGGACCTGATGATGATAATGGATTTCTAGCTCAAGGTGCAAACAATGGGCCCAATTATGGAGCGTAATGATGAACTCTCCCTGCTCCATAAAACTTCCAGGATCCAGGGATTGCTTAGCATTTAAATGGACAATTAAAGGACACACTTAAGAGGTACATAGGAGAGGATGGGGTAAGCCCAGCATAGACTACGTATTTCAGGTGAGTAGTCTGGACTCTCAATGCAACAATTCCTCAAAAGGGTACTTTTCGTATCCTTCTTTGACCAAGCTGCACAGCTATTCCTTCAATTGTATACTCTTCCTTCGGGATTATAGATACCTTGGACTCCATGGGGGACTTCCATGCCACTGACCCTTTACTGAAAACCCAAATTGGTGGAAGATTAGGATGGCAATTAAACAGCAAGGGGTGGGAGACAGTTATCTCTTTCTCTATTTACCCCCTGGAGACATAGCATGGGTTTTTGCCTATAAGGATCATGAAGATATTGACCATTAATTTAAGTTCTCTAGTTCAACATTTTCCTTAAGACAACCTTGCCACTTGGCCCTGAGTAGCTCTGCAGAATGGATATAAGTACAGTAAAACCTTGGATGACAAGTAATTTGTTCTGCGAGTGTTCTGCAAGACGAGCAAACATTTCTAATAAATTTTAACCTGATAAAAAAGTGATGTCTTACAATATGAGTAGTATGTGATGCCAAATGTCACATGATCACAACTGAGCCAATGGTTCTTCTCTCTCTCTCTCACTACAGGACTGTGGGTGATCATCTCCTATGCTCAGATGCTTGGTCTTAGACCATGGTGTTTGGCAGAAATCAGTGATTTTTCAGAATGTTGGAAGGTGCCCACAACTGGAACTAGTGTATTTTTGGTCACTTCAAAGCACCTATGGATAGTCCTTTGATTTTTCATATAAGAGTAAGCTTAGGAATGCTTTGCTTCATTCTAGGTCAGGCTGCCTGCAGATATAGCCTCTTGCCTCTGCTGCCTTATTGCCAGTTACATTAAATACAGTACATGACAAGAGTTTATTAATACTGTACTATACTCAACGTCCACGTGAGCGTATATAATAGCCCCAATGCAGAAATAGATTCAATTGAGCCAATAGATTGAAGTGATTCCATTAGTGATAGTGAAAGTTGTCCTACACAATAACCCTCCTCTCTCTTGTCTCCCTCACACCAGCCATGAAGGTTTTCAAAGGTAAGTGCAGGTTAATTTGTTTATTTTTCTTTATATTTTGTATTGTATTATTTTGTATTATATTACAGTATTATAATCACTTTTATGAATATTTTTGGGTTGTGGAATGAATCATCTGAATTTCCATTATTTCTTTTTTTTTTTTAATTTTTTTTTCAACGTTTATTTATTTTTGGGACAGAGAGAGACAGAGCATGAACGGGGGAGGGGCAGAGAGAGAGGGAGACACAGAATCCGAAACAGGCTCCAGGCTCTGAGCCATCAGCCCAGAGCCCGACGCGGGGCTCGAACTCACGGACCGCGAGATCGTGACCTGGCTGAAGTCGGACGCTTAACCGACTGCGCCACCCAGGCGCCCCTGAATTTCCATTATTTCTTATGGGGAAATTCACTTTGATATATAAGTGCTTTGGATTACAAGCATGTTTCTGGAACATGGTTTTACTGTATATAAAATAAAAATTATACTAAACCACAAAAGGATCTAAGCCAGAAGGTTTACTGGAAGTTTTCCTTGCCCACAATAGGAAAAAACTGCCCAAGTTGCTGTTGATGGGGAACAATTCTCCCAATTGATAGCATATGAACATCTTCAATCTAGGAGCTCAGATATGGGGAAAGGAGAATTAGGTATTTAACTTCCACTCTTTTTGTTCCACAGAGTAGCTTGTGTTGGCTCCTGCATCACCGAATTCATTGGTGTATCCATATAGGTAGCTGCCAACACCATGAATTTGATGAGCTATCAGATATGTCACCCCCTGCCTAATCCTACAGATAAAAACATCTGATTGCTGTACTCCTGAATATCACAAATGGGCATTTCTTTAATCATGTACCTTTCTGGTACCCTGGGTACAGCAACCTTATTATCTGGATTTGATGTATTGCTGCATTTGAACTCTGATACTGCAGAACAAAATTCTTGTCACTTCTGTCAACTCACTCCTGTCAAAGATTGTGGCAAATGAAACATCTGGAGGAGGGGGCATGGGATCCATTATTGGGGCCATTTTGTTTACAATGGTGCTCCTGCTATGCATAGATGTAGTTATTCTTTCACTGTCTGGTCATCCAATTAGAAGAGTTATGTGAAGCCTGTCCATGACCGTGGCTGAGGTCATTAGTGATACCACCTCAGCTTTGGAGGAGCCTATGTGCGTTGGCCTTGGTAGTGCTGGACAATCGCACAAGCCTCTACCTCTTGTTGGCCAGCAAGGAAGAAGTGTGCCACTGCCAAAGTCTTGTGCTGCACCTGAATCGAGGAAACTGACAAAGTAGAACAGTACATTACGAGGCTTAGTGGGAGGCTTCCTGGATCTCTAGAGTAGACCCTAATGGGATATGAGGCATCTTTTTCTGGTTTGGAAATGGTTGAGGCCCATGACTGTGTTCATTACTCCTGGTAGGCTTGATCATCCTGCTTGGGGTGATTTTGACTGTGGCTCTGGTCTGCTGTTGCCTCGGATAGATTAACCTGTTACGGTCATAGCCCCTCGGTGTTCAAATCATTTGAGTCCTTGTCAGGGTAGCCTATGCTACTCTTTCAAGTAGCATAAAGGATCAAGAGATAAAGTTGAGGAGTTTATCTCAAGGCCAAAATTCTAGGTAAGATTTTTTAGGCCTAACCCCAGGCAATTATAAGGCTTTTCTTGGCAGGTCTCGTGGGGAGAAGAGAAGCTGCTCTCCCCACGTCAGATCTGGTGCACAACTAGCACATTGCAATTTTCTGGAGGGAGCTGCAGCTGAGAATTCATGCACTTCTGGGGTAGCCACATTCATATGCATATCTGTATTCCTAGTAGAGGTGCCCCTACTGAGACTTCCTTATTGGGGGTCTTGGCTGAAGTACTTTTCTCACTTTGATGAATAACTTTCCCTTTCTAGCCAGTCCATCAGTCCATAAAAAGACTGGAACCTTTCATTCAGGACTCCTTGGCAGTAAAGTGATTACCCCAGGCTGCTTGTATCTATCTGACTTCATCTAGTACTGATTTATAGGGGGAAAAGAGAACACCGGAGAGCTGGCACTCCTTTTTGCCTCCTGTTTGCACTGTTGTGGTAAATGAATAATGGTTTGATTGACATTTTGTTTGGATAATTGTCCTAATTGAATACCTCAACAACTGATCACATAACTTCCTCTACCCTCCCTTTAGGAAGACAATGCTTCCTTCCCTCCCAAGGCAATATATGCTGTCTTCAAGATACACCCCATCTCCCCTCCTGACTATGTCCTACAGCTGGGGTTAAGTTGCAGCATCACCCAGCTGGGGAGGTGATGATCCTGATGAGGGGGCAGAGGGACTGTATATACCAGAGTATCTGTGAGAAATAGCCAGCATGTACCAGCAGGAGCTGGAAGAATACATGTGGGGCTGGATTTGAAGTTGCTAGATCAAAGTGGTTGAAAGATAAATTTGGATAGAAAATAGTTTATTGCCTTGAAAGCATTCTCCTGACATACATAATATAACACTCTGGCAAGAACCCAAGATCATGTACATTGCTACTAGCACAGTGGCTACAGCATGCAATAAGCAAATGCCAACACTTGGAAAGTTGCAATGTCATGGAGGAAAGTAGAGAAAGGGATTGGCATGGAGGAAAGTAGACGTAGGAATTAAAGGCCTTGGGGAAGTGAATGTGTTGGGAGAGACACACTGTGTGTGTCCATAAGAACTTCCAGATTATTATATTTCATGAGAAGACAAAGAGGACACAGAATTTACCAAGACTGTGTAAAAGAATTTGCTGATGCAACAGACACAAGCCTCACTACACTTGGGCAGTAGTGGCTCTCTTCTTTAGATGTGGGCTGGTGGCAGGACAGGCTCTGACCCGAACTTGGATCACTGAGAGAATGGAAAGGACAGGCCTCTGTAACAGTGGAAAACAAGAATTGGGACTTAACTGCCAAAAGCCAGGGGTCCATAGGAATTGTAATGAGCATTGGGGGTAAAGTGGCAGCTGAGGGGCTGATATTCAAAAAGTTCTGAAAATGGTTAACAGAATGTAGCTTCCCTACAACAGACTAGATGGGCAGCTGTAAGGGTCTTACTTAGCTTGTATTAGCAGAAGAAATCCAGGATAGATTGCTGGGAGGTTGAGGATTGTCTCCCAAAAATAAGATCAAACTCCCTAGGCCAGTATCCAACCCTGGGTTAGCTCTCATTGACAAAGATGTCCTGTCCCTGGGGGAAAGGACTCTGCAATGCCATGGCAACCATACATAGTGATGTCTTTCCCAGTGTTCCTCAAAGGAACCTATGGCATTTTATCAGCTAATAGTTGTATGGGGGAAAGAGAATAGCTAAACATTTTAAGGATTGTAGTAAATAGAGTCTGCCTTAATATTTGATATTTGGAGAGCTGAAGCAACATCATGACATTCCTGTTAGAGTGAGGGCATATAAGGTGCAGGTGATGAATGAACTTTAGAAAGTTCTGGCTTACAGTGGATCCAATAGGTCTATTCACACACCAGGTTATAACCTCTTCAGTCTCCAAGTGTATAATCTCCTATCTAATTGTCATCCCCTCTGTCCTCAAATGCACAATTAGGATACATACTTTGCAGTGGATAGCACACCCCCTCTATTGGTTCCTAAGACTCTAAGGTAATAATTATTATAATGAGGGAGCCTAAGTGGAAGCCTCCAAAATTCACACAAACACAGATAACAAATAAAAAATAATACTGCACCCAGGGGTGGGAAGTATAGGGAGTGGGAGTAGTAGGTGGGATTAGCCCCTGGCGGGGGGGCTACTTTTGAGGAGCTAAAGAATTTAATGATGATTGTCCCCATCATATCCAGGTTTAATTCACCAGAATGTCCCCTGAAGAAACAGAATAGACCCTGGAAAGTAAGTGTAGACTACCACAAACTCAACTAAGTAATAGCCACATATTTCAGTGGCTGTGCCACATATGGAATCTTTGCTAGAGTGGACAAAGATGGCTTCAAACTCCACTTCGGCATCTGCTTGAAGGGAAGCCAAAGTGCAACAGGGAGGGATTGCAGAATATGGTGATTTCTATTCTCATTTCAAAGGGAAAATCAAGGCAGGTATAGTTTAGAATTAAAAAATAAAAGAAAAGAAAAAATAAAAGTAAGTATGTCTCTCAATCTTTCTCCTGGCCATCATTTCATTTTGCTGTTAATTTTAGAAACAATTCACTCTCAAACACATACACAGACAGACAGACAGGCAGACGATAGGCAAACCAACAGACTTTCTATTACAAGCTAAGTATTCATGATGCTCCCTAGCTTCTGGGCATCATTATTTATGAAATGCTGCATGCATGATGTATCAATACTAACCTGTGAGAAAAACATGAATCCTAAACAATTTCTAGAATACTGAGTGCATCCTACTTTCTTTCAACATTTTTTCTTAGACTTACCTGCGTGAATATCACATTATCATCTGAATATATTTTCTTTATAATGTTAAGGAAAAAAGATATGCTAACACAAGGTGCTCTCTGTGGTCAGGGTGCCAAAGAAAAACTAAACATCTAGAGGCTTTTGGTGGGGACCAAAAGGGCATATATGTGTTAATCATAAAGGATTCTGACATCTGTCACTTATTCTATGAAAGAACATTTGGGCTGTAAGCATAGTGGACCTCTTGTATTTCTTCATCCAGAAGCACCCTGCCACCACATTCTTTATCTAAAAAACTATGAAATTATTTCATCTTTGTAGAATGATTGGATTTTTACAACTACATGTCTGTTTCACTATGGATAACTTTAATTTGGTATGTTTCAGATGATGCTTTATTGAACTCTTTGTTTTCTTCTCTGGCAGTGACAGTAATCAGGGCTGTGGCACAGGTTTTTGTCAGGTGGTTCCTTGAACAAAGGTCCCTGAAGCAAGAGCACATGGGGGTTGAATTCTCTCCATGAATCCTGACTTGATATTGGATAAATATGAGAAAGGGATGCTCTTTGGTAATTTATCTACCCAGAGATGGCAACTTTTCCTAATTCATACAAAAGCATTTTATATACTATTGGTACTTTGCCCAATTGGTTCAGGTAGTCAAATTGTTAATTGATATTTCTCTGTTTAACAATAAAATATATGTTAGGGTTTGATGGTCTTTACTGTACAACTTGAATACTTTTATATCAATGGGTGAAAGCTTATCAATTTGAAAAGGCATGTTTCCTTAATCTTGTCCTCTTTGAAATAAACTTACTTTCAAATGAAGTATTAGCTCTTAATTTCATAATTTCTTCCTTGGGAAATTTCCAGACTATTCTAGCTTTAGTCATTGGTAATAACTTAAAATTTTACAAGCAATTTGCTCTTTTTTCTTGTGAGTTAAGGTAAATACACACCCATTTTTTTTTAATTTTTTTTTTCAACGTTTATTTATTTTTGGGACAGAGAGAGACAGAGCATGAACGGGGGAGGGGCAGAGAGAGAGGGAGACACAGAATCGGAAACAGGCTCCAGGCTCCGAGCCATCAGCCCAGAGCCTGACGCGGGGCTCGAACTCACGGACTGTGAGATCGTGACCTGGCTGAAGTCGGACGCTTAACCGACTGCGCCACCCAGGCGCCCCACACACCCATTTTTAAAAGCTTACATGTTCTAAGCTTGAGGGAAGATAGTATCCACTTCCTTTTGACAAAAGGAAGAAGAAATACTTGTGTATTAATAATAAAGGAACCTGACATTTGTTACTTTTTTACTTCCCAAAGCCCTTAAACACCAAACCCACTACATAACTAGAATGTAAAGCTGCTTGAATGCAGATTTTTACGTGTTGGGCCATAAAAGAGGGCTAGTACATAGTAGGTACTCAATAAATACTCGTCATACAAATGAATAACATCATGCCTCAAACCTGAAAAAAAATTCTAACCTTTAGAAATCATATTTTCATTACCATTTCTGATTTCTCATATAAAGACAGACTCAAGGGGCACCTGGGTGGCTCAGTTGGTTAAGTAGCCAACTTTGGCTCAGGTCATGATCTTGTGGTCTGTGGGTTCAAGCACCGTGTTGGGCTCTATACTGACAGCTCAGAGCCTGGAGCCTGCTTCAGATTCTGTGTCTCCCTCTCTCTCTGACTCTGCCCCCACTCACACTCAGCCTCTCTCTCTCTCTCTCTCAAAATAATAAACAAACATTAAAAAAATACAGACTCAATGAAGCAAACTTTCCATACTATATATCAAGAGATCCAGGCAATGCACCATGGCATCCATTGCACAGAATGCTATGAAGAGAAAATGCAATTATATGTAATAATAATGTATGTTCCAGGTACTATATAAAATAGTATCTATAATAATGTACGGGACATTATAAGTTTTTAATATATGTTAAAATATATACAGTAAAGTAATGATTTATATTTCATGTATAATCATGTATAATTAAACTTATACCTCATTTCCTCTTCCCTAATTTTTTATTGTAGTAATAGTTCATATCCATTTGAGTACCATTAAACAAAATGAGCAAATTTTTTTTTCTATATCTTATATCATACTTTTTCTGCAGCACCCAATGTTTTGGATGCTTTCCAGTATTTATTCATTAAACAAGTCAGAAGAGTAGAATGAGTTACAGATAGTCTTTGACTTATGATGGTTCAATTTACACTTTTTTTGACTTTCCATGGTGTGAAAGTGATACACATTGGGTAGAAATTGTACATGGATTTTTGATATTTTCCTGAACTAGCGATATATGGTCTAATACTCTTTCCTGATGCTGGGCAGTGGCAGTGAGCTACAGCCCCCAGTCAGTCAGGCCATCATGAAGGTAAACAATCTATATAGTTAAAACCATTTTGTTCTTCACTTTCCGTAAGTATTCAATAAATTACATGAGAAATTCAATGCTTCATTGTAAAATAGGCTTTGATGGTTGTGCCCAACTGTAGGCTAATGTAAGAGTTTTGAACACATTTAAGATAGGTTAGGCTAAGCTACAATGTTCAATAGGTTAAGTGTCTTAAATGCATTTTGCACCTACAATATTTTCAACAGGTGACGGGTTTATTGGAGTGTAGGTCCATCATAAGTTGAGGAAGATTTATACTTTTTAAAATTTATTTAAGAGAGAGAGAGAGAGAGAGAGAGGAGGGGAGAGAGAGAGAGAGAGAGAAAGAGAGAGAGAGAGAGAATATGATCTAGGGAGGGACAGAGATAGAGGGAGAGACAGAATCCCAAGCAGGCTCCAAATCATCAGCACAGAGCCCAATGTGGGGCTCAAACTCATGAACCATGAGATCATGACCTGAGCCGAGATCAAGAGTTGAACGCTTAACCCACTGAGCCACCGGGTGCCCCAAGATCTATACTTTTAATCATACTTTAATGGAAGCAGAATAATAAATCGGTACATTTGAAACAAATTCTTTTGCTATTTTTTTCTTAGAAAATTATATACTATGGTTCCTTCACATTATCTCCAGTTAGCATTACTTAGATTCAAACTTCAACACTATAAACAAACAAACAAACAAATAAATACCTATATTAATGAGGAATAATTCAGTTAGATGACCTACATTCAGGAGTTCAAACTAGGGTTGAAATCATAAACATTATGTATAATCATGAAAATGTCCAGTTTTTACATGGGAGAAATATGGATGGTGTATTGGCTATATATTCTGGTTATTATCAGCACATATACAGATTTCTATAAATCGGTATGTCAATACTATGCTAAATATTAAAAATATATTGAATTAATTTTAGTAATTTCTGTCACGTTAATATTAATAATGGATCACGTTTAAATCTTGACAGTAAAGGATTAAGATAATGATACCCAGAGGCTCCTGGGTGGTTCAGTTGGTTAAGTGTCTGACTTCAGCTCAGGTCATGATCTCACGGTTCATGGGTTTGAGCCCTGCATCGGGCTCTGTGCTGACAGCTCAGGGCCTAGAGCCTGCTTCTGATTCTGTGTCTTCCTCCCCTCAGCTCCTCCTCTCCTCACACTGTGTCTCTCTCTCAAAATAAAGATTTAAAAAAATTTTTAAAAATGATAATGATACCCAAATTAAACAGTGACTATTTTATCTTGTCCAGAAATAGAAAACTGATTTGAAAATGTATTGCAGGCTGAGCATTTCTTCCTCCTTGATCTGTTATAAAAAGGACATACTACAGCACCAGAAATGTAAGCCCATTAAAAGAGGGAACAAGATTCAGTATCTCAAATGAGGTAACAACTAAACAGAGGCAAATTTGGATGTTTAAAAGAAAATGAATCTATACAAAGGTAAAATTATACCCTAACTCTAGAAGACTTTATTTTCCAAACCAATCCTATCTTCTGCTATGACCCAATATGAAAAAAGTCATTACTAATGCATATATGTATTTCAATAAGCTGATTTGACTGTACATGTTGCTTTCAATGAAATCCTAATTTTAATCTGAGGGCACTATTGTGTTTTTAAGGTTGAGATCTATAATAACATTTATATTTTTGTTTCTTATGAAAAGTATTTCAATGGTTTAATCTACAGGAATATTCTTTTCCCAAAACTTAATGAAAACTTTCATTCAGTGCTGTTGGTAATATAAACCAGTACAGCTACTTTGGAAAACAGTTTGACAGTTTCTTAAAAAGCTAAACATAATCTTACCATACAATGCAATAGTCATGCTGGTATCTATTTAGTCAACTGACTTGAAAACTTATTTCTACACAAACAACTTGCACAAAAAGGTTTATAAAACCTATATTCATAATCACCAAAACATGAATGCAACCAAGAAGTCTTCGATAACTGAGTGGATAAATAAATGTGATAAAGCCAAGCAATGTGGTTCTATTCAGCAATATAAAGAAATTAGCTGTCAAGCTGTGCAAAAACATGGATGAATCTTCAAGGTATATTTCTAAATGAAAGAAGTCAATCAACAAAAGTTACATACCGGTATGCCATTTGGGAAGTGGCAAAACTATAGAGGTGATATACAGATCAGTAGTTGCCAGCAGTTTGGGAGGAAAGAAGGTTGAATAGGTAAAGCACAGGGAACATTTTTAAAACAATTCTTTAAATAGCCTGTATGATTCCGTAATTGTGAATACATGACTTACATGACACTACACATTTCTCAAAGCCCATAGACTTTTATAGAGCAAAGAGTAAATCCTAATGTAAGCAAGTAATCATATAGTGATATATCTATATAATATAAAGAGACTTATTATAAGGGATTGGCTCACGTGATTATAGAGGCTGAGAAGTTTCAAGATACACAGGTCATAAGCTGGAGACTTGGAGACCCAAGAGAGCTGAATTGTAGTTCCGGTAGGCTTGCAATCCAAGAAGAGCCATGTTTTGGTCTGAGTCCACAAGGCTGGAAAATACCAATATTTCAGCTCAGGCATGGAGGCAGGAGGAATTATATTTTAGTCTTTTTGTTCTATTCATGTCTTCAGTTGATTGGATGAGGATCACCCGCATTAGGAAGGGCAATCTGCTTTACTCAGTAGATCAATTCAAATGTTAATCTCATACAGAAAGATTTTCACAGACACATTCAGAGTAATAGCTGGCTAACTGTCTGGGCATTCTGTGGTCCAGACAAGTTGATACATAAAAATAACCATCACATAGGCTGTAACAAAGGAATCTAATTACATTACAAATGCATGAAATAACCTCGTTGAGCAGGTAGAGGCAAAACGTGCTGATCTAAGTAGCTTTGGAAATGAGTAGAGACTATAAAACTACCGGAAAAAGAGCTGAACATAAGCACCACGCCTTTGGTTCATAAGATTCTTTGCCATGGAGTTACAAGTTAATAATTCTGAAACTACTGACATGCCTACTGGACTTGAATACTTATGCGTTATAGATAGTGGATGGTGGGAGTGTATTTGTGCTACCATTCAACTTATTACTGGCAGGTTCCAGAAATAGCCCCATTTTACAAAGAAAGGAAGTCAATTCATTTGAAAATTATAGTAAGATTGCCAGGAACCAGGTTAAATAATTTGTAGTCACACTTTTCCTGGCTGAGTAGTATTTAGCTGTGCAGATGCATTCAGTGAGAAAACAGATGAATTCATTAAGATTTGGGTTTCTGCTAGATGAGTGGCACAGAAAGACAGATGAAGAAAAAAGGAAAATAATGAGCTACAAAATACTCTTTAAAATAGTTTTTATATTTTAGTTGAAAATCAATATATCTCCCTTCCGATTTATACATTCCTTTGGAATGCCCTTCCATTTCACATATTTTGATTGTAGGGAAATCATAGAGCAAAATGAAAATTTACTTTTTAAAAATTAGATTCCAATTGGCACTGTTTGATAATTGAGAGATCATTTTATAATTCTGGTTAATTTTTACTTTTTTAAAAAAATGAAAACTATATTTTAGCTGCACTTATTTGAAATAAAAATGAATATATTAAAGTATTGATCTGCCTGGCTAATAATAAACTTCAAGCCCTTGAATATCATTTGTAAGGTCTGTGATTGCAAAACTTTTTATATTTGGCTTGAATGTATTTTAGTTTTTTTAACTTAAAGATCCTACTTTGAACTGATTTGAATAAAACTGTATGGAATTACATATCATGGCATCAATTTACATTAAAATAAAGAATATTAGAATACTGTTAAAACAGAGGTAAAATATTCTGACCTATGTAGTAACTCAGGGAATACTTAATTCTGAATCACATATAATGTGTACATATATTGCTAGATATAACAAGAGTTGAAATTTTGCTTGTGTCAGTGAACCAGATGGCTGGTCATTTTTCTTTAGTTATGAGGCAAAGTTAAGAAACAAAGCTGTCACAAAGTGTTTCATCAGCCCATCAAACCACAGACTCAAGAGTGAAAATTTTCATTATGCATAATGCAAGACATCTAACCATTCTTATTTCACTGAATTTCAATAGATATCCAATTCAGAAAGAAATAATTCAGAATATTATGTGATTTTCCTTATGGCTCTAGAGGATGCCAATATCAATTCAAGGCAATAATCATATTATGAGTTGGTAATATATTGTGCATGTTTATATGAAAGATTTTCATTGCAGAATGCACCGATAACGTAGGGTTTCAACAAATCTGTCTTTAAAAAAATCCTCTATGACTATTAAAATGAGATGTTCTTAAAAATTCTCCAGCTATCATGTACTAATACTTCAGACCCTTTTAAAGATCAAGCATATTGTCTAACTCCTTTAAAAACCAACCATACTGTCAACTATATTTGGTACATGCAACTATGTATTGATAGGTTATAGTTAATTGCTGAGCAAAAATGAGAGTTGTTTGTGGCCACTGTACATTTTAAGTAATAGGAATACAATGTTTTTTGTGATGAAAGAAAAATTAAAAAGGTAGGAAAATATTTATGAGATAAGCTGAAAAACCATCTTAAGTTATTGGTTGGAATTTAGGCCTAACGTGAATAGGAAACTTGGCTACCTTTCTCACCATTTGGCCCAAAGTTGGGCATATTCAATGGTCTTTAAAACACTTATGGATTAAAGATATAGCTGAGTTGAACATCAAAGAATTATTATAAAGATATTACTTACAAATTTGGAAAAATGAATATTAAAAGCATATATCTGAATATTCAGTAACCTAGACCCTAAGTTAACAAGTTGATTTATTGTTCTATCCAAGTTAAGTATGATCTAATTCCAGACTTTATTCCCTACATACATTACATACTCATTGCCTAATTTATCTAATTTTTTTCAATTATAGATGTTACTTGCTTTCAAGTCATTATTATTTTTTCCACTGAGCTTTTGTAAATTATCTTTAGAGGATTGTAAGGGTACACTGTAGACAGAAGAACATGGGCCAGTCTACATTTTTCAGCTGTTATAAAGGATTATTACCGAATCCCATTCACATTTAAACATTAGTGTGCCTTCATCACTGTGATTTACATTCTTCCATCTGCCACCTTAAGAACTTGTAGAATTACACCTTGTAATTCTAAAAAAGTATGTAATTTGAGAGGCTAGTTTGTGCCAGACATTGTCCTAGGCACTTTGAATACATTGTCTTTAATTCCTACAAATTAACTGTAATAATCCTTACAAATACAAAAATAATTATTGCTGCATATATGTTACTTTGCATATAAAGAAACTGAGGCTCATAAACAATAAGGATGTTCCCCAGACCCCCTAACAACTAAGTGATGGAACCAGAACCCGTGTTTGTTTGTTGCTTGAGTTGGGAGTCTCTTAACAACTACTATGTTCCACTTTTGCTCCAGCTGGTGACTGTGGCTATTTCTTCTAAGCCTTACGTTGAACATCTCTGAAAGCTGGACCCATTTTAGGAGCATCTCTGAAGCAGAAGGAAGACTGGCTGGTCATCCTCCATCTGGGGTAGGTTTTCTTCTATAACAGGAACTGTTATTTCTTCAGGGGAATTACTCCTACTAGGGATTTGCTAATGATCATTTTGGCTTGCTTAGATTTCTAACATGCCCACTGCCTTTCTCCTTGTGCCAGGCCAGATCTGTGGGCCACAAGCAGCTCCATGATACTCCTTAATGTATAAATACTATAATTAGTTTGGGTTTTAATTATGTGGTGGCTAACACCAGAAATAGGAGGAAGGGAGAGAGGGAGAGACAGATTGATTGATACATATAATGAGGCAAGGCAGTTTAAATATGCAGAATATTGCATTTATCAAACCTTTTTTTTAAAGTTTATTCATTTTTGAGAGAGTGAGCGAGCACGTGTGAGTGGGGGAGGGGCAGAGAGCAAGGGAGAGGGAGAGTCCCAAGCAGGCTCCAAAGTCAGCTCAGAGCCCAATGTGGGACTCAAACTCACAAACAGTGAGATCATGACCTGAGTGGAAATCAGGCGTCAGACACTTAACCGAGTGAGCCACCCAGGTGCCCCTCAAAACTTTTTATTCCCAAAGACGTTATAAGAAAGACAAAAATTTTTTTGTGCATTTATTTTGGTATTGATAATCTGAAATATTACAAATACTTGTGGTAATCAATAAAAAATAGAACCACGGAGGTAACAGGAACATTTTAGTAGTAGCTTCCAAGTGGCCCCTAATGCCAAGTTAGATTTCAAAGTCTTCTCATACCTCATGATTCTGGAAAGGCCCTCATCAGATGGAGAAAAGTGATTGGTAACAAATGGTTTGCAGAGTTGTAAGAAGCTCCTCGGAGACTCAAAAAGTATGTATGTGAGTACAATATATAATTCCACTGAAATTTCTCCAAACATTATACTAACTTTATATGTAATTACTCTCTACTCTTTGTTAAGGACACTTGCTTGCAGAGAGCTCCAAAGCAAATCTTGGGTAGTACCAAAAAGGTGTTCAGAAAAGTGATGATCAGTAATGACGGTTTTCTTGTTTTCTCACTTTTTATGTTCTCTGAAAGGTAAAATGTAGAAAGCAATTGTGTATTTGTCTTTTCTACTTACTGGTGGACTCTTTAATCCCACCAGACTGAAGCTGGAGTTAGAAGGAAAACCAAAGATTCTACTTACTCCCTGTGGGGCATTTCATCTTGCAAGGTACCAGTGTCCTCATGTGTAAAATGGGGACAGAAATATTAATGTTGCCCACACAGGTAGAGTTGGCAGCATAATATAGTGGTCAAGCATAGATTTTTTTCAGTTGAACAGATAAAAAAGTCATCATTCTTTCTAGATGTGTGAACTTAAAATTAATCCATTTGAGACTCAATTACCTTATCTAAGAAAATGCAGTTAATATAAACTGTTCCATATTATCATTGGGAAGATTAAATATGATGTTTGTAGGGTGCCTGGCCAACTGCCTCACTATAAAATATCAACTTAATAAGTGGTAGTTGTTACTACTCATGTTAATAATGTATACCTTTATGAAGAGTAACATTTTATACAAGTTTATAACATGTTAATCTTATTTTTTCATAATTAAGGATTACATAATTTATTAAAATGTTAAGTACTTCTAACTTGTATACAAAAAAGGAGCTATAAAATTGGTCAGATATTTTGGAATGATGGCCCACTATGTAATTGATACACTGGTATTTCTGGATGAAGAAAAACTTCCAGATTTGTAGCCAAAACAAGAAAAAGGTTTTTCCTGAAAATTTAGAAAAACACAAAGAGGGGTGCATAGGTAAAGACTGTCATACTACATTTTGATTTTAATAGTATGTCTTCTCAGGATTAATAATGACTTCAAAAGTTGTGCAGATTTAATGAGATAATATATGTAAATGTCCACCATTTTCTTGCCATGTAATAACTGCTCAATAGATGTATGGTGCTTTCCCCTACAGTGTAAATTGCTTGATGGAAAGTATTATGATTTTTTCTCTGCTTCTCAAAACTAATGCCTATATACAGTAGATGCTTAATAGGGGTTTCCCAAAAGTTACAGTTCATTCACTACTAAATGGATTATAGTTAATTTTTAAAAATTTATTCAGTCACTAGTATCTACTGTGGGACAGGCACTATGCTAAATGCTGGAGACTCTAAAATGAGCACAACAAAAGAGTTCCCACCTTTAAAGAAAACAGAGCCTACTGGGTAAGCACATCTACACAAATAATTGTAATACATTTTAAGTAGTTAGGTATGGCTTTAACATAATAGCAATGTGGATACATAGAGTAATGTTAGGAACAGAAAAATAAAAATAACACTGTTTTCCAAAGTATTAGATATTTTTAGGAAGTTTACTTATTCCAATTAACTTACACTTGGTTAATATCATAATGTGAAATATTCAGATTACTTAAATATATTTTTGGGCAAAAATAATAGTACTCTTTTAGTTACTTCTAACTAACATGTTGGCAGCATCAATAATGGTGAGTAAAAGAAATCCACAGAAATCTCTGTGTCTTAAACTGAACACTCCATGTTATAGAGGACTATCATGGGGCTTAAATAATTTGTTCTATTGTTGTTTCTTTTCTGGAGCTCCAAGTCATTTGCTACTCTACATTGTATGGACTCCAACTTTTTGGCCCTTTGGCTTTAGCAGAATAGAAAATGCTAGTTGGTTTTATCTTTTTCAGACACAAATTCTATTTTTTTTCCAAAGACATTTTTCATAGACATTCTTTTTAAATAATTCAGATATATTGATTACACTCTTTAAGATGCTGCTTTTCTGACTTGTCTTGAAGACCATGCCATAGTCCTTTTTTTGAAATATTGTCTTGCTAGCTCTTTCGAGACAAATGAGTATTTTCTTAAAAGAGATAGCTTTTGTTATTCATAATTTCTAATCTTAAACATATATTATTTAGTCATAATATTAATATTTTAACTTAAGCAATTAATTCTTTAGAATTTTTTTTAAAATCAAAGTTCTGAAAATCTAATAATGAAAAATTGTCACCTGCTCAAACTTTCTATTTCTCAAAACCTGTCTCTGAAGGAAATTCTATTAACTCTTTTATTGTGTTTTTCCAGCAACTTCCTTTTTATCTTTAAATAAAATGCTTATCTTGCTCTTTCCTGACTTATCAATTTTGATTATCTTCTGACTTCTACCTACAATTGCTGAAGATTAAGCTATTCTGCACCACTTGCACATTTTGTGGTAGATTTATTGTTTTGCTGGACCCAATTTTTACACCTTGCCCTGTTCCCACTCCTTGGAAGTTTCTTTTCATACCTACTGTGAGCTTGCTATACAAGCTTTTATGCTGGAATTTAACAACAGTGATACAAAGAAAGGCTTGAAAACACACTGGGACATGTGTACCTCCACTCTTGGATCCCTGACAATGCCATGAGATGAGCCCTGTTTTGTTTCAGGGCGAGAAACTTTGTACATCAAAATCAAGTGGTCCCACCTCCAACCATTCTTGACCTTGCAGCCCTCAGCTGCCCAATGGCTGACTGAAGATATTAGAGCAAACTCAATTTGTATCAGCAGAATCTTTCAAGCAACCTGTGGACTCATAAGATGTTTTTTTAACTATTAAGCTTTAAGATAAAATACATTCCTTCTTTTCACTTTCAGAATAAAATTTTAACAGATTAGTCTGTCTTCTTCCTTTCTCTCTGTCATTTGTTTGAGTCCTCTTGTCTCAGGCTTTAAGCTGAAATTGTTGTTTTCTAGATGTGATTCACCTCAGAGCTTCCAGTTGCCAGTCTTCTGGATTGGATATTCTTCCATTTTCTGCCTTTTATCCTTTTTGGTTAATTTCTTTGTTTTGGAGAGCATATTTTCCAATTCCACCCCAGAAAGTATGTATGTGATGTACATATTCGGAGTACTTATAAATCTGAAATTGTCTGTATTCTATATTCAACTCATTTGATATTTTGATTTTTTTCATGGTAAGTTATTTTTCTCCAAAGATTTGAGAGTATTTATCCTATGTCTTTTAGCATATATACTGCTATATAGGAGTACAAGTATTATTTTTAATCTCATTCCTTCGTATAAAATTTCTTCTCCAAGACTTTAGAAGCTTTTTAGGATCTCTTACTCTGGATTTCTTCATTACAGCATAACATAATAAAGTGAGCACCAAAATAATAAAGTGACTTTGTTTAGGATGATATTTAGAAAAGTAGATCTATCCATCAAGAAAAGTAGAACTGGATTGATATTAATAGATCAAGAAAGAATCTAATGGAAGATCTAAATGAGAAAGGTAAAAATATAAAATTAATAAATGAAAAAGGAGCATGCTTTTGGGATCTATGAGTTGGGAGCAACCTGAAATTTCAACAGCATAAACTCTTAGATAAATACATTGAATTTGATAACACAAAATAAGAGATTTTTATTCACTGAAAAAAAAACACAAAGTTAAGAGAGGATATATATGGATAAGAGATTTGCAATGTTTAAGATGAAATCAGAAAATCAGCTATCTAAGAAATCATGCACTTCACAACAAAAATCAGTAATCTCATTAGGAGAATGGGCAAATGATATGGAACAGATAATTTAATATGAACACTAAAGATCTAAGGAGTAGCTTAAAGAGATGTTCAAAATTATTAGTAATCAGGGAAACTAGATTTTTAAACTGCACTATGATATCACTTACAGCTATGATATTAGTCTAGTAAAATTAAAAAGCTGAATACTGCCAAATACTGCTAGGGTTGTGGGGATACAGAAACTGTTACACTGTGGTAGTGGTGGTTTAGACTGGTGTAGCCATTCCAGAAGCAGTCAAGATAAGCACACAATACTATTTGCTCCAAAAATGATAGTCCTTAATAGCAGCATCTAACATATTGGTAAAAGAGGACCAATAAGCATGCCTGTGGAAGGACAACTTGTATTGGTGGAGAAACAGAGGCAATGTGGATTCTCATAAGTGGGGTGGGTAGGTAAAATATGGTAACCGCAAAACATGGGCTATTATGCAGAAGTTAGGAGCAATAGATTCAATGTACACATTACTACTTAGAATTAAGTATGTAAAAAAACATTTTATCAATCTATCTAATCAATCATTCATCTATCAACATCTATTTCATCTTCATGCCTTTTGTATACAGCTCACACCTCAGCACTTGTCCAAGGAAATGGGTGCCTGGAGTTACCAAAACCCTTAGATATACTACATGGCAGAACATGCTTTGAATTGTTTCTCTTTTCTCATGTACTTTAGATGGATAGTTAGTGAATTTTTAAAAGACACACAAACAGAATTTTACTTTTTGCATGCTTCATAAAAATCCTATTTTTATTTGAGCTTATAATATACCATAATCCAAGACCACAATATTCCAAAAAATATTTAACGGGCATTTTCCATATACTAAGGACTGTGGAAAGCTCTGAGCATAAAACAATGAATAAGACACATTAACCTTGGCTTCCTGAAGGTTAAATAATAAATTAATGTGTGTGTGGGTTGGGGTACAGTATATGAGTACTTATTTATGCATAGCCTCATTCAACAAGCATATTTTTTTAGCTTTACTGAGGTATAACTGACAAATAAAATTATGAGATATTTAAAGAATACAAAGTGATGATTTAATGTAAGTATATATTGTGAAGGGATTCCTCCCATCTAGTTAATTAACACATCCATCACCTCATATATTTAATTTTATTTTTACTGGTGAGAAAATTTATGTTCTACCCTCTTAGCAGTTTTCAATTATACAGATTATACAGTAACATATTGTTAACCACAGTCACATTATATATTAGATATGATGGCAACCACGTTTTAAACCTATTTTTATGAATTCCACTCTTTTTTTTAAGAGTTCACATGTAAGTAAAACTGGTGTTTGCCTTTCTTTGGCTCGTTTCACTTAACATAATGCTCTCCAAGCTCTCCCATGTTGTTGTAAATGACAGTATTTTCTTTTTTAAGGACTAAATAATATTCCATCGAATCTACATACCACAGTTTCTAGATACATTCACTCATTGATGGGCACTTTGGCTGTTTTTGTAGCTTGGCTACTGTGAATAACTTTACAATGAACATGCCAGTGCAGATATCTCTTTGAGATAATAATTTCCCTTTTTTGGGGTGCCTGGGTGGCTCAGTCAGTTAAGCATCTGACTTCAGCTCAAGGCATGATCTCATAGTTTGTGGGTTTGTTGACATCTCAGAGCCCAGAGCCTGCTTCAGATTCTGTGTGTGTCTCTTTCTTCCCCTCTCCTGCTCACATTGTCTCTTTCTCTCAAAAAAACAAGCATTAAAACAATTTTTCACCCTTTTTTTGATATATACCAAGAAGTGAGATTTCTGGATTTAAGGTCATTCTATTTTTAATTTCTAGAGGAAACTCCATACTGTTTTCTATAGTGGCCACACCGGTTTACATTCCTTCTACTAGGTTACAAGAGTTTCCTTTTGTTCATATCCTCACCAACATTTGTTATCTTTTTTTTTTTTTTTTGATAATAGACATTTTAACAGGTGTGAGGTGATATCTCTTTGTGGTTTTGATTAGCATTTCCCTGATGATTAGTGATGTTGAGCACCTTTTCATGTAACTGTGGGCGTGTCTTTGGAAAAAAAGTCTATTTACGTCCTTTGAGTGCTTTTTAATTATTTAATATTTTGCTATTGAGTTGTAGGAATGCCTTGTATAGTTTATAGATTAACCCCTAATTGGCTCTGTGACTTGCAAATGTGTTCTCCTATCCCATAGGTTGCCTTTTCATTTTGTTGATGGTTAACTTTGATGAGTGGAAGCTTTTTAGTTTGATGCGGTCCCACCTGTTTATTTTTACTTCTGTTACCTTTGATTTTGGGGTCAAACCTCCAATTTTGTTTTGTTTTGTTTTGTTTTGTTTTGTTTTGCTAAGACCAATGTCAAAGAGGTTACCACTTCTGTTTTCCTCTAGGAGTTTTTTGGTTTTAGATTAAGTTCAAGTCTGTAATCCATTTTGAGTTGATTTGGGGGTATAATATAAGATAGGGGTCCATTTTCATTGTTTTTTTAATTTTTTTCAACAGTTTCATTCTTTTGCATGTATCTGTCCAACTCGCGTAGGAGATGAAACTTGTCAATCAGCCTGGCCTGAGCTCCTGGTTGTATCTCAAAGCTTTGTGATGGTCCAGGTCATCTTCTTTGTTCTTAGTGGCTCTCAGTGGTTGAGGGTGTGCCAAGACCAGACAGTATCCCAAGCGAGGATCCCATTCAGTGCCTGGATGAAGGCTGATCGGAAGCTGGATCCTCAGGCAGCAGCTGGGGACAAATGTGCTCACTCCTCTCCCAGTGAGAAACAAGGGAATAGGCACTTTTGCTTGCCTTTCTGCACTGGGCCCTGATGTATAGCCATGGCTGCTGCTGTGCCTGTTAAGAAATGCTTCTTTGGGGCGCCTGGGTGGCGCAGTCGGTTGAGCGTCCGACTTCAGACAGGTCACGATCTCGCGGTCCGGGAGTTCGAGCCCTGCGTCGGGCTCTGGGCTGATGGCTCAGAGCCTGGAGCCTGTTTCTGATTCTGTGTCTCCCTCTCTCTCTGTCCCTCCCCCGTTCATGCTCTGTCTCTCTCTGTCCCAAAAATAAATAAATGTTGAAAAAAAAATTAAGAAATGCTTCTTTGATTGCTGTGGTCCTGTGGGACTTGTGAGCGAGAGTCAAGTGTTCCAGAGACCTAACTCTTAGGCAGCACCTGCAAAAACTAGGGCTCAGACGTGTGCACAAGCTCCTTCCAGGGAGATACTGGCAACATGCAGCAGGCTGCAGGGAGACAGCATGGCAGGTGTATATGGTTTCATTGTCCCCAGGGAGTATCATGGCCTGATGCTAAGTATGTACTAATTTAGAAGACTGACCCTCAGGTGGCAGTTTTCAAAGTATGCAGATGGACCTCTTTCAAGGAAAGACTGGGGAAATTGGGATTATGCCTGCCGTATCTGTACTGGGTCCTGGGGTATAGCCACCAGTGACTCTATGCCTGTTAACAACTGCTTCTTTGTTTGCTATAGTCTTCTGCATCTCCAGGAAGCAACCCCCCCCCCCCCCCGGCTTTTAAAGCCAGATGTTTTAGGGGCCCATTTCTCAGGTGGGGTCTTAAAAGTTGAAATAAATCCTTTATTTCCAAAGGGGAAGTTCGGAGTTGGGAGTTCCCTCCAGATTGTAGGTTGCTGTTCTGGGGGTGAGACTTATGGTGAGAGTGTTTCAGCCTTTCCTACCTGTTTTTATATGGGCATTTTCTCACTCACCCGAAATGTAGGAGTTGTTCAGCTGGTTTCTGGATCTCTTTCAGATGTAACTGCTCCATGGGTAGCTATCCATTGGGTGTGTCTGTGGGAGGAGTTGAATTCAGAAGCCTGATATGTCACCATCTTTGTCAACCTCTTGATGCTTTTATCCCTAGAATGAAAGAAAGCAAATCAGGAATACTGATAACTTTCATTATTTACTACACATACCAGTCAGTTTGACACTATTTCCATTGTACTTGAGTGCTGCATTTTATGAAGAACACAAAGAATGATAGTGTTGTGTCATAAAGCAAAACAGGAGAAAAGTGCAATTTTATCCTTCTTTTGTTAGGCAATTAGTATAATGTAGCTGGGATTAATTTGGGTACATTTATACTTACACATACATGTACCTACAAACACAAGTTATAAGATCTCCTCAAAGAATAAAACTGCTACTTGGCTTCTTCAATAATAGTCTTACAATCAATTTAATTTCATTTAATGAAGTTGAAATTTTTATTTTTATGCTCTCAATGCTTATATTGTAAAATGAATCATTAGAAATAATCTCTAAGAAACAGGAAAATTAGAAAAAGAAGGGAAAACAGAATAGTCATTTTCCTTCCTCCCAGATACAAGCAGAGATAACATTTAGGTGTGTTTCCGTCCAATATTTGTTTCAATTAGCACTGAAATAACTCCCTGGTAGCTTATTTCTATATTGTTCCCATAAGCATTTGAGCAAAACTGGTTTCCTTAGGGCTTCTTTAACCTCAAGGATGTCTCTATAGTATAAGAATAGAGAAAGTGACTTGGTGAGTCAGATTTATCTGATTATGGGGCGCCTGGGTGGCGCAGTCGGTTAAGCGTCCGACTTCAGCCAGGTCACGATCTCGCGGTCCGTGAGTTCGAGCCCCGCGTCAGGCTCTGGGCTGATGGCTCAGAGCCTGGAGCCTGTTTCCGATTCTGTGTCTCCCTCTCTCTCTGCCCCTCCCCCGTTCATGCTCTGTCTCTCTCTGTCGCAACAATAAATAAACGTTGAAAAAAAAAAGATTTATCTGATTATGATTTTGAAAAGAAATCTCGCTTCCATATAATATCTCATGTATTAGAAAGTTTAGAAAGTTTTTCCTAATACTCATGGTAGAAATTTTGATGGTTAGTCCTTATTCAGGCTCTTTTAGAAAATGATAATAAAGCAGGGTAATTTGCAGCAGTTAGGAATGTTAGGGAGCACAGCAGAGAATGAACTTAGGTCTTTAATTAAATGACTGGCAGTAAGTTCCATAAAATTTGATAAAATACTTGTTGAATGTTGGAAGAAAGAAAATTCTGCAATGAAGAAGACACCACCTATCAAGCCACTGTGCCTGATGATGGTGTTGTACTTCAATAACTAGGCAAAGTGGATTGGGTTCATCAGCTAATTCCCTTTAGTGCCAGAGAAAGGGACCTCATGGAATACATTTCTCCAGAGGGTTCTGCTCACAAATAGTGACAGGATTTTCATTATGTCCCTTGAAACACTGTGGCCTGGAATTTAACAGCTATCCTTATCACCTTCTAAAAATAACTTAGAAGAAGTTACCCTAAGATACACATAATGATTCAAACTCAGTTCATGGATGGCTGATCTCTAATGAGTCATACTCCTAAATTTATCATCAGGACTGGCTTCCTGGGGGCATGACCTGTGCAGTTGTACAGGGCCTACTGGTGAAGGGCTGCATGTTTGATTTAATGCTCAGCTATCTTCCATCCTGAAATTCTTAATAATTTTTAATAAGGGGTCCAGGATTTTTTATTTTTCACTGCCTCCTGCAAATTATGCAGCTTGTCCTGTACACCATTTAGTTTTACACAGTATCTTCCCAGATAGAAATAAATATGTGTACTTTCTTGAATTGCTGAGAATCATTAAAAAAAGATAAACATTGTGTAAGATTGGTAGCATATTGATGGTGATACTTCATTGCTTCTTTTCACTCTGGGTTAGTATCAGAGGAATGTAATGACATTATGATCTCATGTTCTTGTAAAAAACGGGTACTCTCCTTTTTCTCTCTTTTTTTCTCTCTGTCACCCCACCAATTCTCATCTTTATTTTTCTATTCCATCTGCTTTGCTTAAAGCACATAACATCCCATTTCATTGCATTGTGTAAAATGTTTATCATACTAAAGATATTATATTGTTATTGAATATTGGAAAATAAAAAAAGACCATTGTTGAGAATTAAATAGCCCAAATGTATTGCCCATTACTATCCTCTTATAACCTTTCTCATTTGCACTGCCTTTGTATATTCTAAAACAATATTAGGAAACAATTATAGCAACAGTAATTATACTTAATTTCTATTCTTGATTTGACTAGAACATAGAGATCATACACTCTCACTAAACAATTCTCACAGAGCACATATTTATACTGTATCATAAATTAACTTTACCAGGCCAGATAAAGCTCCAATTTCTGCCCTTACAAGTCACAACAATCATGCTCATGTGTTTACCGTTGAAGTTGAATGCAGTACTATCTCCTCTCTTAGGCTAAGTCTAAAATATGTGGAAACAATTCTTCTCACTGGCACCTCTCCTCTAGCCCCATCCTGCTCTGCCTCACAAAATCACTAAACTTGACACGGACACTCAGAGTACAGCCAGTCTTACTAGTTAACCATTTCTGGTTCTACTTATTCTCCCTTTGTATTCTCCTTACTGACAATACTAGAATCTTCCTTTATCCAACTTAAACATTGGACTTCAAAATTTGTATTTTAGGGTAAGACAATTCAGCCCATAACCAAATGAAACCTCAGAAGATTAGTAGCTAAAGGTCTTCAATTCCACAAAAATGAAAGTTGGGCTAATTGATTTCTATTATTATCCAATAGTGAGAAATATATTAGTGCTGAAGCATAATAGTTGACCATGTTTTAAGTCTTTAGTCTTGAAATTGCCAAAAAATTTGGGGCCATCAAAATCGGTGGGTACTAGAAAATGACAAAACGAGGGACATGTTTGATCTTTGTGAATTTTCCTTAGTTAAGCCCTTACTAAATTACATCAACCGGTCCCAAAACCTGATATTCCTGATTGAGTCCATTTAATGAATGAAAACACTAGAGATGTGTTAAATTTTAAAGATACCATATGTCTATTCTCATTTACTTTGACAAGGTTAGATAGATATTTATTCTGTGACACTGGGTTGTTGGGTAGTTTATACGGCCTGATACTTTTCTAAACTTTTATCAACCAGAGAGTAGAACTCAGCCCCATTGACGTTACTCAGCTTCATCTTCCTCTTTGCCTGCCTTCTTGAGTAATTCCTCCTCCCCCCCCTCCAAATCACCATGCAATAACAGCCTCCCTGATTCCTCCCTCTCCAAAAAGAGAAACATATGAGCAAAGGGCTGAAGTAGGCGATTTTACTTCATATCCACCTTTTTACGTCCTGTCTATCCTTTCAGTTTATACTTGTCTGACTTTTTACCTATGATAAAATGTAAAACTCCGTAGAAGTTTTATATTCCTTTTCAAGTCTCTAATTTTACTTTGTTCCTCCAAAATATCTTCGTATTAGTTTGGGTTCCCAACTGCAAGCAAAATTACCAATTCTGCTTCATATAAGAAGAAAATAAATTCATTAGTATGGCATTATGGAGATCACGCAAATTTAAGGAATAACCAAGAATTGCTGAATCGTGCTATGAGAGTGATTTACCTAGAACACAGTGACTGGCTCTGTTATCAGTGAACAGATACTGTCAAATTATATCTTACTCCATGCAATTGGACTCAACTTTACTGCAACTACTATAAGAAATTCTAATTGACTAAGATTTTGTGCCACTTCCCCAAGATTCAAATTCCTGGGTGGGAGCATCCACTTGGCTATGATTAGGTGACATACCCATTCTCTAAGCTGTGATGTCCAGCTGCTAAAGGTATGTGGCTATCAAGCACTTGAAATATGATTAGTCTAAATTAAAATGGGCTATAACTGCAAAATACATATCAGATTTTGAAAACTTAACCCCTTCGCCCAAATCAAATATCTCATTAGTAATTTTTATGTGGATTGCATAATAAATATAAATATTATCATTAGAAAATCATTTTAAGATTACTTTTACCTTTCCCTTTTTAAAATGTGGCTTAGGGGCACCTGGGTGGCTCTGTTCATTGGGCATCCAACTTTAGCTTAGGTCATAACCTCACAGTCTGTGAGTTTGAGCCCCATATCCAGCTCTGTGCTGACAGCTGAGAGCCTGAAGCCTGCTTCAGGTTCTGTGTCTCCCTCTATCTCTGCCCCTCCCCTGCTCATGGTTGTTTTTGCTCGCTCTCTCTCTCTCTCTCTCTCTCTCAAAAATAAACATTAAAAGTTAAAATAAAATAAAATGTAGCTTATGAAAAATTTAAAATTACATATGTGGCCCATGTTTGTGGCTGGACTTCTATTTCTAGCAGACAATCCTGCTTTGGAGTCTTCAGGTTTAGGGGAGATAATATCAACCCCCTTGGGGATTTTACCAAAAAGAAGGAGGATTCACATCCATCCAGAGTCACTTAAGCAAGGTTGTCTCATATTCTGGTTATTACTTTGTTTCTCCCTGGAACGTGATGAAACTTCAGTACATAGATTTTCTCATTTATGTGAATTCTTTTGTATACATTCTTGCATGGGAACCTAATAAATTCTCATTGAATGTCTGCAGAATTTGGTAGCTGTACATCTGTGGTTTTACAGAGTTACTGAAATGTTTTTGGAATCCATAATTATGGTGAGGTTAATTTAAATACTACTTTAAAATAATCAGTTAGAAATTGAGAAGTAAAACTGTCCTCAGAACACCTAGGACCATTTGCTACCATTATTTCTATACTAGAAGGTTGAGGAAAGAGTGCTTGATTTGCACTAGGCAGTTTCAGTTATAATATCACGTATTATTCTTGACAGCCTTGTCATACCCATTTTACAAATCAGCTAATGAGATTAGAAGAAGTTTGCTAACTTCTTAAGATACCCAACCCCTCAATTGGTATGACTGAAATTTGAACCCAATTTTACCAGATGCCCCAGCTTAGTTTAGGCCTTTTCCACTAAACTATGTATCCATAAGAATGGAATTTAAATTTCTGTTGTTCAGTTTTTACATTTTTTAATGGTTAAAATAAGTTAATTTTGAAAAAATCCATCTCCTATCAAAAGCTACATGACTATCATGTAAAAATTTTGCTAAGCAACATTCTTCAGTAAATTAAATATACAGAGCCAGAAAATGCTATGTCTTCATTTCTCTTGTAAATAGGTTTTAAATTAGGCACAAAAGACACAGGAAAATATAATTTGAGTATTATTGAGCCCCCAATGCCTGAATATATCTTAAGATCCCTTGAAACTGTGAAACACAGCTGGGCAATGTATCTTGGCATAATTTATTTTTTTAAAGCCACTCACACCTGGTTGTATTTTCAACATATTGGGTTTTGTGAATTTACTCTTTTGCAAAAAGCACTTATGCCTAGTCAAAATTCATTCTACTCTAAATGAAGAAATCCCTAAGGTTCCCAAAGAATATGGCATCATAGCAATGGGTTTTGCTATGATTAAAGCAAATTATTTTTATATGACATCCATTTAAACAGTATAATATCCATTTCGTGTTCTGGAAGTAATTTTTAGTGAGTATTTTGCCATTTCCATTAATGACGAAGTAATGGAAGACACTGATGGAGGCTTAAAAATGTCTGGATTCAAATTTCTCATTAATAAAGCATTTTAAAGACAAATAGCACTATGCCTGTCTTTGGCAAGGGAGGATTTCTTACCTTGGATATGAGGTCACCTTTCTGCGCTTTACAGGTTTTTGGTCCTATAAAAGAAATTGGAAAAAAAAAAATAGACATCACATGTTTAAAATCAGCATTTCCAAAAGTATATTCCTTGATTTGTTTATTTATTTATTTATCAAAAAAAACCTCACAAAAAAACAAAACAAAAAACCCAAACCACAAAAACCTAAGTGGCTTATTGTTGGTTTGGAGTCTTTATTTGCAAGAGCAAAAACTCTAATTCAAAGTGTTGTAACCAGGAGGAGAAGAGACCAGCCAGGTTTAAAACCCTCAGTTCACTTGTTTTTTCTGACTCTCTGGTCTGCTTCTTTCTGTGACACGACTACAGAAAGCTCTAAATTGCTCTTCTTGGTGTTTGCAAACATAAAAGGCTGTTCCTCACCAGCTTGAGACAGAAGATGCCACTGAGGGATTTGAATGACCCAGCTTGAGTTATAGACCCATTCCTAAACTGGTCCTTACGCCATAGAATATTTGGGGGGAGAGATCTGTTACCAGAAGTAAAGTCTGGGAAAATAGTGTTAGACAAAACTGTAACAGGAGTCAAAAACATCTAAACAGATTTCTGACCTGTAGGCTGTCTCAGAATCTTTAATATGCAATATGAATGATGAATCTGTGGACAAGGAAGGTATTTGACATAATGTTTTCTGAATATATGTGAATATGGAAGTTTCTTTTTAATAGGACATCATGTTAGATGAATGTGTTATACAGTTGGAGATTTAGTCACACAATAATTAGCTTCTTCAGTTTCTGTTATCAATCGAATGGTCTTCATGAGCTCTTACACTGCTGAATGGATGGTTTGTCATGCTATAGAGTGAGTATAGGAGTGTGGGTAACTTTAACTGCCAATCAGAAATATCTCAAGAGTTTTCAAGTTTAAGCAGTCTCTTTGGTAAGTTTGTCTCTCTGGGTGAAAGGTTGAAGAAGTTGTATTATCTCCCTCATCTTCTCAAATTGGACAGTTGGCTATAAGGGTAAAAATGGGCTTGCTTATGTTACCTGTTGGCAACAGGGTCTGTGTTCTTTCCTCTGGACTCTTGCCAGCCTCTGCTATAGGATGACTGGTCTGACCCATTGGTTCCTTGCCCTGGGGTTTGCTAAAACATGGCTAGTTAGCTTAGAATTTATTATTTGGGCAAAGTTGGACTTTTGGGCCTTCATTTGTTACTTGACTCCACATAAGCTCTTGCTAGTGCTACATACTCGTTTTTATTGAAATGTTTTGTTTTCAGCTCCTGGCCACAGCTGTCTTTTCCACAATGGAGTATTCTCCTCGCTATGTCATTTTTGTCATGTCATTCTATGAAAGATCACTGGTTCTTTATGTAGCTACTTTCCCATATATCCCCTACCCTACCCACCTTGGGGCGTATGGGAAATTCTGGAGCCTTTTCACACTAGCTCAGAGTTGAAGGTAGTTGAGGCGTATAAACTTAGGACCTGTTTGTGCCCAGCTACACTTATTGCTATTGTTTATCCTGAAGCTTTGTCCTCATGTTGGCACATCAGGGAAGCTTTGGACTTTCCTTCAAGCTATCTAACAAAGCCTGAGATCTATCCCCACTCCCCAACTATGTGGATGCCTTGACATGCATCCCTTGTCTGCTTCCCCTATTTGAATCCCTCCCCCTTTGCTCCCTCTGCCAGCCGTAAGGGACTATCTTATTGGTGTTTTTATATGTAAAATTAGCTCAGAATTTTAGGAATCCCTTTTCTCTTGTGACGAATCTTTATTCTCTACACTGTTGTCTAGAGAGATTTAGAAAAAATAGTGAAGTCAACCGTGATTTAAACCTAAAGAAGGACCACTTAGTTGTAGGTAGAGTAATTTCTCCCTGAGGGGACCAATGCCATTGACTCAGTGGGTTGGAGGGTACACAGTGAAGATTTATAGGTTATGAAAGCACATATGAAAATATTTCTAAAGAATATCATCATCAGTATAAGTTTTTTGTAGTACAAGCTTTGGGGTATGCTGACCTAGTCCAAACTCTTAATTAACTAATGAGAAGAGACAGCCCAAGAGATTTTGCAATGTCAAACAAGTCTTTAGTGTCAGGGCTAAAACCCAAATCTCCTATTGCCAGATCATCTTGGCCTCCACTTAACCTTTTCAATTTATCTTTTGGATATAGTCATTCATGAAATTTTGAATTAGCAGCACCACACAGATATTACCATCCTTGACCTTTCCTAAGATTCCAACTGGAAAGAATTGGAGAGAACACAAAAGCTGAGAAGTCTTTTTCTCTAGGTAATAATAGCTAATGATTTTAAAGTACTTGTGTGCAGATCTACTTCATGCTCTACTTGTATTAATGCAACCATTTCTCACAACAGTCCAATAAAATAAGAATTATTGCCCCACTTTGTAGAGAAGGAAACTGAGTTACAGAGAAATTAAACAACTTACCTCTGTCACATAACAGGACACGACAAAGCTGAGAATTGAACATAGTCCTCCTCTGGATTCTGTGTTTTGTCCACTACATATATTGCCTCTCACAAACCTTTGGAGGAGCCATCTCAGACTTCCTCTGACTGTAATTTCCATTTTTCAAGGATCTTCTGGTCCAAGAGAAGGTGCAAAAGAAAAATGGCTATAATTAATTCCTGTATTCAATCCTGGAAGTGTTTTCAACAACTCAGGTAGGGAAACAGAGTTCTAGGTTCAATATCATAGGGATTTCCTGTTATTCCACACCCCATGATTCAAACCAATCTGAATAAAACTGCATTTGGGAAGTTGGAGATAATATTAAAGGGGAAGCTTAAACATTTAACATAAATTCTCTCTCTTACTATTGGTTTGTGACATAGTCTTATAACATTCAATTGGTTTGAGAAAACCTTTTCATTCCTCTTAGCCCCAGTCCCTGAGAGTTCTCAGTTCAGTATTTCTGCATGGGTAATATGCAATGCCATGCAGGGAATCAAGGCAGCTGAGATTCTTCATGTGCATATTGTTAATAGCTTGTTAATTGCTCCTGACAACAATCTCCAAGAAAGCTCCTGTTTGCAAATTTTTCTGAATTATGAATTTCAATTGTGGTCAGGTGTGAAGATCTAAAATAGCAAGCCAGTTATGGGTACTTAACATTTGGGAGTAAGTATAATCAATCCCTTCCCAAGGCATGAGCTCATCACCTTGATGCTAAAAATACAGCTCAACTTTGTTCCAACTGTCCAATCCTTTTATTTTTCACAACTGTCTATTTTGCAGGAGCCTTCCAACAATGGAGATAGATACCATTTGATAACAGATTATGAAATGGCTAAAGAGAAAATTTGTGTGTTAGTGTAAAGGGCTCTGACCTTGGATTTGGTCAGACCTGGCACAAATCCTAGTGCATCTTGTTATTTCCCTTGTGATGATGCTGTATCTCATGCTCATGACCTATACAATGGAAATATCTATTTCCCTAAGGTTTTCCTGAAAATTAAAGGCAATATTATTAGAAAAAATGTCTACTATACATTAATTTTATTTTTAATATAATATTTACCTTTATTTGGGTTTATAAGGGTTTTCTTTTGTTAAAGCTCTAGTTACTTTTCTCCCAGTTTTATTGAGATATAGCTGACATACAACATTGTATTAGTTTAGGGTGTACAATGTGATTTGATATATGTATATATTGCAGAATAATTCCCATAGTAAATGTAGTTAACATCCATCATCTCACAGTTATCATTTTTTCTTTTGATAAGAACCTTAAGATCTCCTATTAGTAGCCTAAAATGTTGGAGATGTATAGAATCAAAAGTCTAAATGCAGACTTTTACACAATGAAGAAAATTACAGATATTGTCACTGAATTAACCTGATTAACTCTCAGCTAGGTAGCCCAGGTTTGTAGACTTGTGTTTACCATATTCCAAAATCCTTCAAATGGTATATATGTTCTCAAGGCTTATTGTTTTTTCATTCTTTCCCCCCACCCCCCCAATGTCAATGGTAGGCAGCAAATGTATTTTGTTTACTTCAATGTTAAAATTTATTAGATATCTTAAGAGTAGTGGTTTAATGGACAAACTGTATGAACATTCTATGAAATAGTATTTCAGAAAATCTGGAGAGACAATTACCCTAACTAAAAGTCTACCATAGCTGTAAACCTCTCAAATACTTACTATACCTAAATTAATAAATCCCTAAATCTTTTCTTCTTCATGAATGTCTTCCTATCATATTACATGTCTATTTCCTATAATAACTATTTAGTGCTTTTTTTCCCAACTGAAATACTCTATCTTATGCTATATAGGATCTCAAAAGTGTTAGCATGTGGAGGTAAGATGTATCTTCAGAAACCTGTATCATCTTTGGCTCTTCTCTCTCTCTCTCTCTCTCTCTCATTCCCACTATCTACTCGCAAAACTAGATTACATAGCTCTTTCTACGTCTGTCCTTTCCTGTGTAACTACACCATTTTTTCCCCCACCCAGGACAATTTTTTTTCCATAGCTATTTATTGAGTGCCCATATATAACTCATAGTTATATATTCTGTGACAAGTATGAATAAAAATTGATCAATGCTCTTGAGAAAATTATAGTATAATGAGGGAGATAAATGAATAAACAGCTAATCAAAATTCAGTGTGAATAAATGTCTTTTCTTTCTTTCTTTCTTTCTTTCTTTCTTTCTTTCTTTCTTTCTTTCTTTCTTTCTTTCTTTCTTTCTT